TCCAGGGCAGGAATAGAGACACAGATGTAGAGAACAGATATATGGACAGCAGGGGAAGGGGAGGGTGGGATGAATTGGGAGATCAGATTTGACATAAATACACTACCATGTGTAAAATAGATAGCTGGTGGGAGCCTGCTTTATAGCACAGGGAGCTCAGCTCAGTGCTCTGTGATGACCTAGATAGGTGGGATGGGGCAGGTGCGTGGGTGGGAGGGAGGTCTAAGAGGGAGGGGATATATGTATACATAGAGCTGAGTCAGTTAGCTTTTCAGCAGAAATTAATACAACATTGCAAAGCAATTATACTCTAATAAAAAAAATGTATCCAGTGAAAGACACATAAGGTATGTAACTCTCCCAGGAAATGCAACGGCTCAATATATTAGTATTATTTTGATGGGATGCGCTGGGGAGACCAAGACATTGGTTTTTAAAGTCATGGAAACATTGCATTTTGGTTGAATCCCTAAGTAGGAAGGATAAACATTTCTTTCTCTTCGAGTGGTGTTTATGTTATTCACAAGAAACATGATTGATAACACATAAGTGGGAGGCAATAGTATATTTGTGTGAGACCCACACAAAGTAATCCCACATGGAGAAATATCCTATAACACAATCATTAAGGATGACTTGACCAAAGTGTTCCTTTTCCTCCAAGGAAAAATATGTCTTTTAATAACGGAATAATTCATCTATTTTGATTCTTCAGACTAGATTACGACCTGAAGTTACTGCAGTACTACAGGAAATCAAGTTTGATTTTGTAATATAGTCAAATGAATACTTTAGAGTGCCATGTCTGAGATCAATAAGGAAGTGGTAACTACATTTACTGCCATATGATGATATTGATGTAAAAACATAACAGTCAAAATTATAAAATCAATTTCATAATTTAATCAGAAATGTTTATTGATACTGTTAAAGTCGAATTCAATAGCTTCTGGTATGTAGTTAATTTCCTACCTGTCAGAAAAATGTATTGAAATGTTCTTTCTTAAAAATGATTGGAGTTAATTCAGTAGAGAAAACAGCAAAGTTTCATGATAATAGATAGATATTTCTTCTCTCTCCAATCCTTGGTGGTGAATGCTGGAAGTTTTCTGTTTGGTTCTTTTAAATATGACACAACAAGGAAATATCCACCAGCCACCCAAGTGATTGGCATTGTCGTCCCCTAAAATGTAACCAATTGCCTTCTTGGGATGAAGACAGAGTTTTAACTTTACTGCAAAACTGAAGAAATGAATAAGCAACATGTGTATAAAGATGTGAGAGGAGTGTAAAGGCTCAATAGCCCCTTGTAAAATAACATCTAGTTAAAAAATTAAATAAGAAAGAGAAAGTTCTAGAGACTGGGATTCTTTGATGCTTTTACTTTGTCGCTAGCTACCAGTTTTGATCTTTATTCACTTTAAGTTGGAGGTATCTTAATTGAAGCAAAAGACACTTAAAAGAATGTCTGTAAGTGTGACTTGTATGTTTGAAATAAAACTCTTATGGATTGTGAGAACCCGTCCAGCTCATCCAATTAAATGAGATAAAGACCAAGCTCTGAAGGTTTAGCAGTTCATTCAGATGTATGAAACATCTGTATGTCATGACCAATAACAATTCTGACAGCCTTCATGATTCTTTAGAAGTTATCATTTTCTTGTTTAAAACCTAATGATGGTTCCCTATTGTGTGGGGAATGAAGTCAAGTTTTCTTATATGGGCATTCGAGAGTTTTCACTCTCTGCCCATACTGTTTTCTGCTCATCCTCTCCCTCTCCTTCACTCATTCCACTTTGGTCAAACTTGCCTTTAAACTCTTCTTCAAATGGCCCATGCCTTCTCCTTTGTCCGTGATTGTTCCCAACACTATTGTCTGCTTAGCACTCAAAAAAATTGAGTCACGTCCTATTTCACCCTGTACTTGCATTTTCTCTTTGGTGTTGCTTCACCAGTTCGACGATAAGCTCTCTGGAGGTTGGTACTGGGTCCCACATCCTCCAGAACATTAAGCAAATGCACATGGAGTGGTTGCTCAGAGCGTTTGGTCAACTGAATGTTCTGTGAAATTGTTAAGATTAGAGTTCCCAGAGGCAGAAATTTGGAATGCAGCCAAATTCACACTTTGGGTATGCCTCAATTCATTGCAATGAATCAGAATGGAATAGTATTCTTTTTTTTTTTTCTTTTTGGCTGTGTTGTGTCTTCTTTGCTGCGCGCGGGCTTTCTCTAGTTGTGGTGAGCAGGGGCTATTCTTCGTTGCGGTGCACGGGCCTCATTGCTGTGGCTTCTCTTGTTGCGGAGCACGGGCACTAGGCGCGCGGGCTTCAGTAGTTGCAGCACGCAGGCTCAGTAGTTGTGGCTTGCGGGCTCTAGAGCGCAGGCTCAGTAGTGTGGCACACGGGCTTAGTTGCTCCACGGCATGTGGGATCTTCCCAGATGAGGGCTCGAAGCCATGTCCCCTGCATTGACAGGTGGATTCCTAACCACTGTGCCACCAGGGAAGCCCCAGCATTCTTAATTAAAATAAAAATTTCTGCACCGGGTGGAACTGCACGTCTCATTGTACAAAGGAGAGAATGAAGGCTCAAAAAGTTCACAAAGGTGTTTAGCATCAGAGTCACCATTAGACCCCAGGTCTCCTGACTCCCATTCACTCCTCTTTTTGCTATACCATGAGCCTCCTGAGGAGCTAATTCTAACTATCCACGGATGGTAAGAAAGGAGAGACAGGTTGCTTTAAAAATAAACAAAATCCTTTGAAGATGAGGTGATGCTCCAGAAACTTTAAGAATTGATCACAGAAGATACCAAAAGTTTGCTTGGGTTCCTAATTTTTGACTTTGGGGTATAAAACATCATTATTGAAACGAATAAAACCAGTGGTTCGGTGAAGAACATAGCTAGACTACGTGAAAAAATATACTGTATTTTGAAACAGAATTCACTGGATCTGTGTTCTAACTCTAGGCTTGCATGGGATCTGCCTTTAGGATTTTCCCCCTTTTTCTCTAATTGGGTTGCTCTTGACCTCCTTGGGCCAACTCCTGCTTCCCGGAAGTTGGACTAAGGAGGGATTCCCACTCTCATTTATCCAGGAAATGTCAACTAAGACTATGCCTACACAAAAAGAAAAGTGTATATTCATGTATGAACAAATTAATACATAAGGAAATATATGGGTACTTTAATGCAAGTATGAGTCTGTCTATAAAACTTATATGTTCCAGCAAAACTAACTGTAAGGCAAAACCTTTTTTCCTATTAACTCTCATATAAGTTTCTAGGGGGGATAAACACCCAATCATTTGGGTTAAGATGATCAAAGCAGGATATACAGGGCTATTGATATACACATGTAATAAGATATAAAGAACACTATAGTACTTTAATGACATAAAATCCATCATTCATTACATGCTTATTATATGTTGGCCCTATACACGCTTTACACGTCTCATTTAATCATTGCAATAACCTCACAATATCTATATTATGATCTGCACTTAAATAAGCTTCAGAACACAGTCTTTTAAGTCAGAGGTACCTGGGTTCAACCCCAGCTTCCTCCCTTAATCAGCAGTGAGATCTTAAGCAAGTTCCTTAACTCTGCTAAACCTCAGTTTTTTCAACTATAAAAATGAAAGAATCATAACACATACATCATGGGATTATGATAAGTATTAAAATAGAGAATGATAACAGAGCCCCAAGTACATTGTAGTTCTCAATAACCTAACGAATTTTGCTTATTATTACTACAGATGAGGAAACTGAGTCTTAAAGAAGTGAAATCACTTGTCCAAGGCCACACAGCAAGTAACTGGAAGAACTGAAATTTAAATGCAGGTCTCTCCCAGTTTCGTGTCTGGGGGAATATTGTGGGGTCCCGTGAAAGAAGCAGGGAATGAGGAGTGGGCCAAGGCAGAGTAAATGAGAATAGAAAAGAAAGAATATACGTGAGTGAAGCATATTATGAAGCAAAAGATGATTGACAAGCTGTACCAGAGAGGGAGAATGGTCATGCATGACGTCAAGGCTTTATACCTGGACAGACTAATGGAAAAAGGAGGAAGCTTCTGGTGCTCTTGGACTGGAGCTTAGGAGCCCAGACCTGCTGCTGCCCAAACTGCCGACGGAATGCTGCCTCAGGGTAACCAGAACCATGGTCAGGGCTGCCCACTCTGGGGCTCTAGTGGCTGTAGTTCCTCTGCGCCTGCTGTCACCATACCATCAGAAATTCCTAGCGACTGCTGTGCTGTTGAAATAAGAAGCAGAGAAAAAAAAAACCAAACCACTGCTTCTGTCTCTCCTCCCACTTTCTAATCTTCAAACAGTTCCTCCAACTGACAGGACATGAATAAGAAGTCAGCTGGCAAGGAATCTGGGAAATGTAGTTTGCAGGCTTCCAGCCCCAGCAATACCCAGCAGAGTGTAGAAGGGAAGGCCGTGGGCCTGAGAAACAAAAGATAAATAACCAACATGGGGGGAATCATTATAAGAGTTAGGAGCTTCCGGAGGAAGAAATGGTTTTAGAGAAAATAAGTTGTTTTGGTATAGATAACTTATATCACAGAGAAAGGTAAATGCTTCTGCTCTTAGAAATGCATTAAAAATAGGTTACGGGCTTCCCTGGTGGCACAGTGGTTGAGAGTCCGCCTGCCGATGCAGGGGACACGGGTTCGAGCCCCGGTCTGGGAAGATCCCACATGCCGTGGAGCGGCTGGGCCCGTGAGCCATGGCCGCTGAGCCTGCGCGTCCGGAGCCTGTGCTCCGCAACGGGAGGGGCCCCAACGGTGAGAGGCCCGTGTACCGTTAAAAAAAAAAAAAAAAAAAAAAAAAAAAGGTTACATTGTTTGTTGGAACAGACCTGTAAACGTTAATTAAATTCCATTACCTATGATCATGTTTTAGCTTTAACAGGAAAACTAATTAAAGTATAATAAATATAACAACTGGGTAATGTGTATATATCAGCCTCTCCGTATTTCTCTTATCAGGTGCTACATAACAGACTTACATTTTCACTCATCTACGGGCCTCTAATAATTGAGAAGAAGTCACTCAAGTGAGGAAGATCTGTAGGTGCATGAACTGTAAGTTGGTTCCATTTTCTTTTTATAACACACATATAGTATCTCTAGGGATTGGAACACTGATGCTTTGGCATGAAAAGTTCTCAAGCTACTAGACTTTATCTAAACTTGGTGGTAAAGCCCTTGACTTTTTCCCTTGTACCCTAGAAGAAAATATGGAAGAATTATTGATCACTTTCTGAGTATTTCTTTTCCCTTAGGTCCATTGCTTGTCACAATACTTACTTTCCTCCCCCCACCCTCCCTTTTTTTTTTTCTTTGTTCAGTTAAAGCAGAAAGCACATGTATCATGAGACTCTTAGACAATTTTGTAAGAAGATTAGGGATGCTTTTTGGCAATTTTCTACATTGCAACTCTCCCTTCATCTGTAAACATGAAGTCTGTACCATCAAGCTCAGAACTTATGGCTGAAGAAGGTATCTTTTAAAAAATAATTTGCCTATAACATTAAAATTTTTTTTAAATGGAAGGATATATTTTCATTCTATGACCATTTTCATTCTATGACCAAAAATTTTAGTGACCCTCCCTTCTTTAATTTTCATCATCTTCCTTGGTAATTAGGGGACAAAACAGCTAACAGCATGTGAACTTTTCACCCTTGTAACAATTGTCTAGTTCTTTGCCTATTTGAAAACACAGATCAAGTTCTTAACTTTCTTTGAAGCTCTTCCTGACTGTACCAATTTATAGCAATCTCAACAGCTTTTGGAAAGTGGCTTTACAAAGACATCCAGGCTTCACATCATATTAGTTAGGATTGGACTAAGGAGGGATTCCCACTCTCATTTATCCAGGAAAGTATTGGATAAATGAGGTGATGATGAGCAGGCCCACTAAAATGGTTACATGTATCCCTCGTCAGCTCCCCATCTATGAAGATATGTCCTCCTAATCTCTGCTATAGCCCTTGCTTCTTTGATTCATAGCCTGGTTTCTACTGCTCCGGATTCTCCATGCCCAGTTCCACGAACTGCTGCCAATAGCCAGATGAACTGCCTCCACGGTGGCTAGGGCAGATCCTAGCAATACTTACCAAGGTGTGTGTTTCCCCTCCTCTTTCTGGAACATTCCCCAAGCCCACTGAATCTAGGTAAAGCTGTGGGACTGATTCTGGTCAATGGGGTGTGAATAGACTCCACCTCTTAATCTCCATGAGATTCTTGGCTTTCTTGCTTTCCTCTTCCCTTGTGCAGTTGCAGAGGATTTAATGGGGCTCCAGTCAGAACCACTTACTAGGTACAACCTGAATCGCTGAGTCTTGCCTGGAGCAGAGCTGGCTGACCTATACCAGGAGAAAATTAATTGCTGTTGGGTAAAGTGGCTGATAGATATCATCATCACCACCACCACCGCCATCATCATCATCATCATCATCGTCATCACCATCATCAGCCTCATGTGCCTCTCTAATGAATACATACATCCTGAAGAAAACCATTTGACAAATCTCTAATGAATACATACATCTTGAAGAAAACCATTTGACAAATTTAACACCCTAGTCTTAAAGAGATTAAGTAGTTTGCCCAAAGCCCCAGAGTTGGTAAGTGGCCAACCCAAGTCTGCATTATCAGATTTAAGTTAATTTAACCTCACAGCTGACCATCAACCTATAACCTGATTGCCACCATAGCTCTGGTATCAGGATGCCTGGAGATGTTTTAGGTCAGTTAAAAAGGTCTACCAGTTGCCCACTGGCAGACTGAAGAGCAATACGAGATGAAATGTAACTGACAGGTATCAGGCCGAGGAGGAGGAAGCTGTGTGGAACCTCTGGCCATTCATTCAGCCTGAGTGTATCATTTTGCACCTCTAATAACCCCCACTGAAGGGTATCAACCACATCTTTACCACTTCCACCTGCACCCAGCCTAATAAGACCAAGCCCTGCCTCTCATGCAGCCACAAAACCCAAAATGGGGAATTCAAGGATTTGTTGAAAAAGGTCAGGGCTAGTTTTTCAACTTGATGCACTAGATGAGGTTAAGAAGAGAGGTCAAGCGATCCAACCTCCTACTTCAAGGAGACTCACATTGGGTCTGAGTTTTCCACTGGATAAGTTTAGAAAGCCCTGTCATTTTTCCTGTGAGATGAAAGAAACACCAAGAAGAGGCAATGTACATTTTTCCTTTGTTCTTTATGGCTTATCTAAGCATCTGTTTTAAAAGGGTATATGAGAGCAAGCAAAAAAAGAAAAAAAAAGGCCATATTTTAGACTATAGCTCATTGGTATTAGATTGATCACTTTTGATCCACCAGGGCTTCAGCTTCTAACTCTGGATTTCTACTTTCCATTCCTGCTTCGGGCCCCTTGGTTTTAGCCTTTGCTTCAAGGTCTGCTTTGGATTCTTTAGATTTCAGCTTTACACCCAACTCTTTGCTCAACCTCTGATTTTTGGAAGTTCCTTCGTCTATAGTGGCTCAGTGGTATTGCCCACCAATCCCTACTTCACCCCCCAGAAAATTGCAGAGACTTTTTTTTTTATCAGGGAATGAGAATGAAGACAACAGAGCACTAGTGAACATAAGATCCTGTGGCCTTAAAACAGGTTCAAATTTCAGTTCTTTCTTATCTGCCAGAACCTATATCATTTGTCACAGACTTAGAGCCAATGACTCTTGTCTTCAGATTCCATCAGCAATATGCATCGGGGGCTCAGCCAGAGGCTAGTGCCTCTATCCTGACGCTCCAAATGGGGCTCACTCTTTACTGATGGTGATATTCGGAACTTGATGGGACACCAGATGTTCCAGCAGCCTTTCCTTAATGTGAAGCTTCTTTGATCAGAAAGCTGAGTGGCTATATTTGCATATGAAACTGTTTTCTATGGCAGTGCTGGGAATATTAAGTGGTGATACTCCGTGGAGCTCTGGAGACCTGAGTCCTTAGCAGTGATTTAGGAAGACCCGTTGCAGATGACTACAGTGAAATTGGTAAGCTGTGCAACTGATGGCCTTGATGGGGTCCTGAGGAGTGTCTCTCGAGTCAGCTAGAACTTATGGCCTTGAATTATTCTCAGTGCTTCCAGGATGGATTAAAAGATGATAAAGACCCTCCCCTAAAGGAACTTACAGTCTAGTTGTGTAGGTAAGACATACACACAGGAACATTACAAGGTGACATATGTGAGTGAGGTGAAAGTGTGGGACAGAATGTTTATGGAAGCACTGAAGGGATTGAAGGTGAAGCCGGGGTCATTCTGCTTGTCTTTTTTTCCATGGACTTAAAAATCTCCCGATAAAGTAAAAAAAGAGGCATCCGTATCTGACTACTCTTTGTTGTTTATTTCTAAATTCCAGATGACTTAGTCATGATTTTCAAAGCTGACAATAAACGAAATGTGATTGTTTTGAATATGCAGAGGTGAAAAATGAGCTATGCCTTCTTTATTAGGGATTTAGAATGTACTTTTATAATATAAATCCTGTCCTGTGCCTATTCCACCTGAGACTTTTGGACAGTCGCTAAACCTTAGTGCTTGAAGGCATCAATTGTCACCACTTGTTTTATCTTCCTACTTTTATTCACCTGCATATACGTTAGCATTTACAGTCTAGTTAGAGGTCTTCATTTTTGTGGAAGAATCTAAAGTGGTTAACAGGTTTATGCAGACTCAATTTTTATGGTCAGTGTGATTGGATGGACAAGTATCAGGCAACCTGAAAACTTTAGCTCTAATGAATGTAATTTTGGCTGTATGTAATTCTACTATAATCTTGGAATTTGTTTTTCAGGCTCCAGGCATGAATGCTATAGAAAAACACAAGGACTGCACGGATCAAAAGCCAGATACAGACATAGAAATGAGGTACAGTGCAATAACACTGCTCAGGTTCTGAAACAATGAGGAATTCTTTTGAGGGATTTTGGACAGTGTGGAGAAACAGTTACCAAAGCCGCAGGAATGCCAGGCCTTAAGCCCAGGCTACAGAATCTGAGTTTAAAGAGATGATGATGGATTACCCAATTCTTCCCTAAGACCCTTCTCAGAATCCCATGGTGAATGAAGCCCTGGTCAACACGTTTTTCACAAGGTTGCGGTAGTAACTGAGAACGAGCAAGGATAGGGAATAAAGTTGAAACTAGAACGAAAGGGAATGAACTATGAAGATGGGCTCAGTCCCTTAATCTTTTAAAGATATTTTCCAGGTGGAGGGACTGAGCTGTGTAACATTTCCAAACATGTAGATAAATCTCCTCATCTATCATGATGTCACCAACGACCCTGAAAATCTGCAATCCACGGTTCATCGTGAAAACATTTCATGGATGCTTTATTATTTCTCATGAAAAAGGGTAAACTCAGGTTTTTGGAATTTGGAGTTTGCTCATTACGGGCTCAGGCTGAAGTGTGAGTGTGTTTGAATTCAACCTTCAGCATGAGGATGTTTGAGTATAAAGCTACAAGGTCTTTTATTAAATTTAAAATCGTGGGTTACGTGTTGAATGGCCTGCATTCCATCCCATTGTTTAAATTCATCAAATAGTCACTCTGGAATTATTTCTAACAATTGGGATGACTTCATTTGTGTTTGTTTTCCTTTTCTATTAATCCATGACAAACTGTGAAATTTGCCATTTTTACCATAACCAGGCCATGAAATTTGTCATCTCTCTCTGTAATTTACATGGAGCCTTGGCTATAGATACATTTCAGGCAGGATGATTACTTTCCATCTGATGCAGAGGACAGAACAAAGGAGGGATACACACAGAATAGAACACAAACAAATTCAGAGCAGACATCAGGAAGGGCTTTCTTCCCCTTTTTTTCTTGAATGCTGTAAAGTCCTCTAAAATGTGCCGTCTGCCTCCCAGAGGAAAAAAAGTTGATGGGACAAACTAAGGCACTCTAGTCAAATCCAAGAAACAATACAGTGGCACTCTGGGGAGAGGGGAGAACTTAAAAGATGAGATGTCTTGACAAACTGGAATGAGTCGGAGGGATGTGGGGTGAAATCATGTGAGTAATATGGTCGGGAGGCATCTGGAAGTGGAGTTTCAGAGGCGTACCACCATAACAGTATGAGAGTTTTAAAGCTTGTTCACAAGCAATTGTTCCTGGGATGGTGAATTTTCCCTTCTCTTTTTTTTTTTTTTGCTGTACGCGGGCCTCTCACTGTCGTGGCCTCTCCCGTTGCAGAGCACAGGCTCCAGATGTGCAGGCTCAGCGGCCATGGCTCACGGGCCCACCCGCTCCGCGGCACGTGGGATCTTCCCGGACCGGGGCACGAACCCGTGTCCCCTGCATGGGCAGGCAGACTCTCAACCACTGTGCCACCAGGGAAGCCCCCTCCCCTTCTCTGTTGACTCCCTCATCTCCAAAATTGAACATAAATTAGTTTCTTCCATGTCAGGTGAATGAAAAGTCCACTGAACCATTTGAGTTGAAAATTAGATTGGACATTTTGCAAGGATGATCTTATATCTGTTTCTAATGATCTTCTTCTTGGTTGGGAGAAGGAAGGAAAGAAAAGAGTTTTCACTGTCCGTTTGCCTGACGTGCAAAATACAGCATCTCCCTGGAACAGTTGACTTCAGCAAGTTAGGTTGTGGCAGCGGCTAACCGACCACTGAATGGAAGGTTGCTCGGCCAAGTAGATGTCCTGCTTCTCCACTGTAGATATCACTTTGGTGTTGTGAGGTTCCTCTGAAGGAGGAGCATTATGGCTCTGTTTGACGGTGGCTATGAGGCTAGAAATGAAGGGGATGAGAAGGAGACCTCTAAGCACTATCTCATTCCCCTTTGTTCCCATCTCTTCCTGACCTGAGGGAGTGAGAGAGCAGGTGGGTACCACATAATCACATGAGCCCTAGGAGACTGAAGGTTACTTAAAAAGACACATGTAGTTACTTAAAAAGACACTTTTTTTTTTTTTTTTTTTACCAAATTGCATTCCAGAATAGATATACCAATTTACATTAATAACAGACTGTCCACCTCACTTCACCAGCACTGAACATCCTCATTTTAAAAAAGAACTCTTGGGCTCCTCTGGTGGCGCAGTGGTTGAGAGTCCGCCTGCCGATGCAGGGGACATGGGTTCGTGCCCCGGTCTGGGAAGATCCCACATGCCGCGGAGCAGCTGGGCCCGTGAGCCATGGCCGCTGAGCCTGCGCGTCCGGAGCCTGTGCTCCGCAGCGGGAGAGGCCACAACAGTGAGAGGCCCGCGTACCGCAAAAAACAAACAACAAAAAATACAAAACTCTTACTTTGATAATTTTAAAATAAAAAACAAAATGGTCTGCTATCTTACATTTCACTTTTGTGACTACCAGGGAAACTGAACGTTTTATATTTCCTTTATTGTAAATCACCCCCTATCCCTTTATCTCTCCTGTGTGGCAGCCATGAGAAGGTGCCTCCCATGCCTCTCACTTTGAAACCTGTGGCCTTACTTACGCTGAGGCCACGCCTCCTGGGCTGCGTCCTGCCAATGACCGCGTATGGAGTGTGGTGAGGATACTGAGGCAGACCCATTCCTAGGAGATGCAGAACGCCTTTGTTGACTGGCTCTGACTCCCCTATGACTTCCTGACCCCTTCTTAGACTAGAAGGCAGTCTACACCCTCTCTCTCCATCTCTGATGCCCTCCCCGCCTCCAGCCTGCTGGGCTCCCTCCTGATTTCCTTCCACACAGGCTGTTCCTTTAATGTTATGGGTTAAATTCTGTTCCACCCAAGTTCGTATTTTGAAGTCTTACCCCCCCCAATACTTCAGAAGCTGACTTTATTCAGAAATAGGGTTGTTGCAGATGTAACTACTTAAGATGAGTTCACCCTGAAATATGATGGGCCCCTAATCCAAAATGACTGGTCTCCTTCTACAAAGAGCACCATGTGAAGATACAGACACTTACAGAGGGAAGATGAAATGAGGACATGAGGAGAAAACCATCTACGAGCCTAGGAACCCCTGAGACCACCAGAAATTAGGGGAAAAGTATGGAACAGACTTTCCCTCTCAGCCCTCAGAATCAACCCTGATGACCCCTGGGTATCCAGCTTCTAGTCTCCAGATCTGTGAGCAAATAAATTGCTGGTGTTTAAGCCACCTAGTTTATAGTATTTTGTATGGCAGCCTCAGGTAACTAATACACCTGATAAAATCCTCCCATTTTTAATCCTGTCTTATTGTCTGCTTCTTGGACACCTGAACTAAGATAAGCTTTATATGAGCTTTTAATATATTGAATATTAAACCTCTGTCAAAACTTTTATGTGTTTAAATACTCAACCTTCTCAGGGGGTCTTCCTTCGCGGTATGAGGGCCTCTCACTTTTGTGGCCTCTCCCGTTGCAGAGCACAGGCTCCGGACGCGCTGGCTCAGCGGCCATGGCTCACGGGGTCCAGCCGCTCCGCGGCATGTGGGATCTTCCCGGACCAGGGCACGAACCCGTGTCCCCTGGATCGGCAGGCAGACTCTCAACCACTGCACCACCAGGGAAGTCCCATTCTTCCTTCCTTCATTTCCTTCCTTCTCTCTTGCTTTCGAGTCTTTCCCTGCTGGAGAGATGATAGATAGTCACCCATTTGGTTTTTTGCTGATTGTTAAAGTCTGGCCTTTACATTTAACCCTTGAGTATATTAAGAACTGTGTGTGCGTGTGTGTGTGTGTGTGTGTGTGTGTGTGTGTGTAGTGAAATATGAACTCTATGGTATTGCACCCAGTCTTTTTTCTTTTCTCCTTCAAAATATATTTAGCTATTCTTACATATGTATTCTTCCATATGAACTTTTGCAACAGTTTTCAAGCAAGCTAAAAGAGAGAAAAATGCCGTTGATGCTTTTATTGCATATGCTTTAAACAAACAACTCAATTTGTCAATAATCAATATGATTACAACATTTAGTTTTGCCATCTGAGAACATTGTCTCCAATTATTCAATAATTAGTGTATATTTTTCAGGAACCATTTGCCATTTTCTTTACATAGGTTTCTTGCACGTCTTACTAACTTGAAAGTATTTTACGGAGTTTGCTTTTATAAAGGTCACATTTTTCATGATATTTTCTAACTAGTATGAAGAAAAATTATTTATTTCTACATGATCATATCATATTCAACCACTTTTACGAAAATTTGTCATTAATTCCAATTTTGGAGACTTAGCACATTTTTTAGACTATCCTCCGTGGTAGTAAATCTTTTAGAAACAGGCTGTGAGAGCTGGAAGATTCTCAAGGTCATCTTACCCTCTCATTTTGTAGATGATCCATTAGGGGGCCCCAGCAACAAGCGCCAAACATTATGAAATGAAGGCCTTGGAAAGGCCCCACCCCATCTTCCTGGAGGTTCTTAAACTAAAGATCAGACAGTTCAACATACAGAAGTGATTTAACATTTGTGAATAATTATAGTGATAAAATAACAGTAACCATTTATCAAGGTCCAGGCACTGTGCTAAGTGCTTTACATGGAACAACTCATTTTATTCTTACGACAATCATTTGAAATACAGTTTTTCAAGATTATTGGCAGATGTGTTTTGCTGGAATGTCTGTCCTCTTCATACTCTGGCTGTCCCTCTATCCAGCTCTTCTTAGAGGCAGAAGGATATTAGCAAGTGACTTCTTAGGCTTCTGTGTTAGCCTTAGTTACTATGAGTCTTAGTCTATTATTAAAAATTGAAAGAGGCTTCCCTGGTGGCGCAGTGGTTGAGAGTCCGCCTGCCGATGCAGGGGACACGGGCTCGTGCCCCGGTCCGGGAAGATCCCACATGCCGCAGAGCAGCTGGGCCCGTGAACCATGGCCGCTGAGCCTGTGCGTCCGGAGCCTGTGCTCCGCAACGGAAGAGGCCACAACAGTGAGAGGCCCGTGTACCACAAAAAAAAAAAAAAAAAAAAAATTGAAAGAGTTGAGCCAGGCTTTTTATGGCCAAGAACAGGTTTCTCATCAGCACCCCTACACAAAAAAAACAAAATACAGTAATAAAAAGTGTTAACAACTATTTAAAAGTTTTCATTGGCTAGATAAGCATGCCAAGTTAAAAAGAAGTTGAATTTTTAAGTATATTTTGATCCTATGCTATGTACCCTATTAGAGGCTTTTTAAAAATACCATGATGGCTTCTAACCAGAAAGAGTTTACATCTAGAGTGATGAAAGCCATGGGATGGAAGGGACTTGAATATTATCTGGTCCTGCTCCTAACTGATGCTCCCCTGATGAATGCTTGGCTGGTCTCTTCTAGAACAGCTTTCTAATTGAGAGAGTCCCTTCTGAAGTCTGTCTCCTGGCGTCTTCTACCCACTTCTACTCAAGTGCCTTTTGTAGTCCCAAAGGGTAAGTTACATTTTTTTAAATATTTGAAGACAACCACCACGTGCTGCGTTCCTCTTTCTCAGTGAAATCTCTTTTCTTCTCTGGTCCCCACTTCCCTGAAGCGTTTGTCATGTGAGCCCCTTTTCCTTCCTGGACTCTGTTCTCTGAACGTGGGTCTCTTTGTCAATATCCCTCTTAAAACGTAGGGTCTAACATTGAACAGGATTGTTCAATGTTAGATGTGGTACAGACAGTTCACAGTAGATGGGATGTATGATGTCCTTTGAACTGGATGTTACACTTCTATCAATATAGTCAAAAGTCCCACTAGTGGTTTTTTGGGTTTTTTTTTAGCAATCCCATTACATAGTTATTAATCTCATTTCCCATGTAACTTTTGATTCTCTACCCTACTCCCAATTCTGTTCCTCCACCAGTATTTCTCATCTTAGTAAGTATCCCCATGATTTACTCAATTGCTCCAGCCAACACCTGGTTATCATATTTGAGTCCTCAGGGCAACACACTGGTATGTCCCATCTGCGTTTCCTTCCAGGGATATCGCCTCTAGCATACCTCTCCAGTCACCTTCATCTGTCTTCTGGGCTGATAGGCTAGCCTCTTAACTTGTCTTAGGGTTTCCTCTCTGGGATCTTATTTAATATATGCTCCACAAAGCAGACAGAGCAATCTTCTTAAACTGTAAATCACATCATGATTCTTCTCTACTCAAAACTCTTCAGGATCCTCCAATTCACATAGACAAAATCTAGTCTTCTTCACTGTGCCTCCAAGACCCTCTGTGATTTTCTTACCTATCCTACTGCACGCTCTGCTTTCCTCTGCTCCAGCCACTGGGTTACTCTTTCTGTTTCTTGAACACACAAAGCTTTATCCTTACTCAAGACTCCTGTACATGTTGCCTCCTATGCCTGGAATATTCATCTCCCTAGATCCTTTCTTCATTTGTTCCCTTAACTCATTGCTGCTCAAATGCTACCTACTCAGAAAGTTCATACTTGACTACTCTGCCTAAAATAGAACACTTATTTCTCCCCACACTCACATTCTGTTTTCTTATTCTGCTTTATTTTTCTTCTTGGCCCTTATCACCAACTGCCATTATATGTTTATTTGTTTAAGTTTCTTTTTTTTTTTTTTTTGCGGTACGCGGGCCTCTCACTGTTGTGGCCTCTCCCGTTGCGGAGCACAGGCTCCGGAGGCGCAGGCTCAGTGGCCATGGCTCACGGGCGCAGCCGCTCCGCGGCATGTGGGATCTTCCCTGACCACGGCACGAACCCGTGTCCCCTGCGTCGGCAGGCGGACCCTCAACCACTGCGCCACCAGGGAAGCCCTATTTGTTTAATTTCTGACTCTACCACTAGAATGTCAGCTCCATCAAAGTGGAAATTTTGCCTTGTTTTTCGCTGCCCCAAATAATTTCAGACACACATTAGGTAGTCCCTGTCACTAGTAGGTTCCCGACTCACATTTTTTAATGAATGAATTATTGAATGAATAGGTTGTATTGAGTTTGTAGCCAGACAAACTCTTTAGTCCTCGTTTTTCCTAAGATCTCCTCTATGCATTTGGGTTTCCTAAAGGATTCAGTAATTTTGTCTCGAGTGCATAATTTCTTCTGAGCTACAGGATTTAAATTCATTCCCTCCAGCTTCCTAGTCTTATATTTGACTCTTGACTTCGGCTCTATTTTCTCTCACTTAAGTTTGTCCATACTCTCCTTTCTAGTCTCAGCATCTTTCTCTTTGACAAAGATGAAATCTGGGACATTTTATTTAATTTTGAGATACGTTAATGTATTACCAGCTAATGAACTCAGCAGGCTCTGTCTCCCTTCCTACTCTTGTTTTAAAATAGCAAATCAAAAAAATAACTTCCTTCCTAAGCATTTTCCCTGTAGTTTTCCTCTTTCTGGGTCCACTTCCTTTGGAAAAGCAGAGCTTTTAATAAAAGTGAAACAACGAGAGAATTGTATAAGATGTTTTACTATTAGGTGATATAGCACATAGACTTTAGGCCTTTCAGAAAATGAAATGAGTCTGAAGAACTAAGAAACATTTTGTGTAGGATGCTTCCCAAGTCTTAAACATGCTGGTATATATTAAAGAGTAGAATTGTAGATTTTTAGAAACGGTAATGTTATAGATAGTTTTAAAAGAAATAGCAGAACTTGGTGCTGGTATTTCTGTGAAACCACATGTCTTGGCTGTGCATGAATTTTATCATCAGCCAAAAAGACATCAGGGTCCATGTGAGGTCAAGGGCAGAGTGGCAGAGATGTTTAAAGTTTTCAGGTCGGCAGACAGCCTTGGATGTACTCTGGGAGGGTTAGGTCAGTAACATCACGGCAGCAAGCGTAACCTAACCATCTTGAGAGATTAATGATTCGCTGCTCTCCTAGCCCAGAGACCCAGCAACAGTTTTCTCAAAATAACTCCCTGTACAAAGGGCAGAAGCACTGTGTGTGTCTGTGCATGTGTATGGGTGAGTTTGTGAGTATATCCCTATTATGAACATACATGCCTATGTGTACCATAAGGGAAGAGGCTGGCTCTTTTATTATAATAAATCCTTATTTTTTTCTTTCTTGTTTCATATATCATTGAGCCCCTCCAGTCTTCAAAGGCCTTGCCAGATTCATTGTAATGGCTCTAAATAGTAGGGAAAAAGTAGTGGGTTGAAGCATTTGAATGGGATGACCCTTCAGCTCTAGTGAATGTTGATTTGGAGTACAGGAAGGAACTGAGGAAGACTGGGGGGGAAGGGACACCTTTGAGGGTTTTTTTTTTTTCATAGTGACAGCTTAATCTATTGGTAAAGTTGGCTGATTGGTGGTAAACCTCATGGAGCATGAAAATTATACCACATGGCTAAGTTTTGCTTTTTCAACAACTGTGCAGTTCGGCTGACCTAAGTCTCATTTCCTGTTTCCATTATGGTTGTTAGTCCCAATTCCTTTCACATCTTCACCCAGACATATCTTATTCTGCAACCCGCCTGCCCATCTGGGCTCTGGGTGACCTCATGCTTGAGATGAGGCCTGCAAGCTGTGCTCAAGATGGACGGCCCCTGACGATGGGTGCAGGGGTGCTAGGCCTCCCTTTGCTCGTTGTGCTGCGCCGGGCTTTGCCAAAGCTTCTCAACATATGTTTGTCTGGATCTTTTCAAGGCTCATGCAGCTCTGTTTTAAATATTTAACCTTATATGAGGATGTCTGAGGCTTCCTGAAGTTATTCCTGTGATTTACAAAAGAGAAGAAATCTGATCATACAAATCTGAAGAGAATGATCAAAACACCAAACGGCAAATCCACTCACTTGCTGTCTTTGTTTTGGGAACTTTATGGGCAGAGAACTGAGCTCTCCTTTTTTGCCCTCCTTGCCAGTTTATCTGTCTATGTGTATTTATTGCACATCGTAAGTGCTAGGCACCAAGGTAGATACAAAAAAGCAAAAGTCTTAGAAACCCACCTTTGAGGCATATGGTCCTGTTGAGAGATATGGTTGACTAGTACAGAGTAGTGTTAATAATAGTAACAGCAAACCATTTTTGAGTGCTGAGTCTGTGCCAAGGCTTAATGTTATCTTTATTTGGGGGGGACGGGGGTCATATAGTGTATACTTTTTTTTTAATTTTAATTTTATATTGGAGCATAGTTGATTAACAATGTTTTGTTAATTTCAGGTGTACAGCAAAGTGATTCAGTTATACATATATCTTTTCTGTTTCAAATTCTTTTTCCATTTACGTTATTACAGAATAGCATTACCTAGAAATGTATCATCTCATTTAATTCTCATAACAATCCTATTAGGTAGGTGCTGTCTTTCTCCCATTACTCAAATAGAGAACCTGAAGTTGGCGTGACTGAGGAACTTGGCAGAACTGCTCTTCCAGGAGAGCCAGGATTCCCACTCAGTTCTTTTTGAGTTCACAGCCAGCTGGGGCTCCAAAGCTCCCATCTTCACTCGATGCTACAGCATCTCTCCAGTGCCAGCCTCTAGAGTGCAGAGTCAGCTCCATTGGAGCGAGGAGAAAAAGACCTGTGAAGGTTGGAGTCATCACTGGACTTTTCCCACTTACACACGGAAGTGGGACTTGGGCCTTCATTCAGGTTATTTGGAGTGAGCCCCGAACCGGAAGTAATTCACATCGACCCAGAGTTAAATTCCTGAGTCTGTTCCCAGTGTGTTCCTTCTAAACCGACATCATAATATTAGCATAAATGAGTATATTAAGAGATGGGGGCTTTGGTTGTTGTCATTGTTGTTTCTCATCCCGATTCTTCCCACCGAATCTACTTTAGATTATGTGGATAATTTCTTTCAGTTTAGAAGTTAAATCAATGTAAGAAATGCAGACTCTATAAGTAACTCTTCACATTCTTTGTTTTCTTTTGTAATTTCTTTGTAATTCTTTTACGATAGTGCAGTGATTAAGAGCGAGGGCTTTGGAGTCATACTGCCTGTATTTGAATCCTAGCTCTTTCACTTACCCGTGGTGGTCATACCCTCTCTGTGCCTCAGTTTTCTTATTTATACCTACCTTATAGGATTGTTAAGAGGATTAATAAGATATATAAATCTTAGAAGAGTGGCTGGGGCATAGTAAATACTTAATGCATGCTGGCATTACTGTTCAATAATGGTTGTTAGTTATTACTGGTGGAGGTGATTGGGCATATCTAGTTCCTTCTCAGTGACTACTAGCATCACAGGTGTTCTCTAAATATCTGTTGAATAAAAAACACAAAGCTTTTATTTACAATGTGATTCGAGACTTTGAGGCCAAAGGCAATGGTCACAGAATGAGCCTGAATTCTCAGGATTCTGTGTATTTTAAATTTACAGAATGTCGGAACTACAAGAATCCATACAGCTCTCCGGTTTTAGACCTGCTTAGTTTACAGATGAGCAAACAGATGTCAAAAATTCACCCCACCCCAGTGAGGCAGCCTGAGCAGGATTTTTATCCCCATTTAAGAGAAGCTAATAACAAGGGTTCTCAGCCTTGTAATAAAGGCACCTTCAATTAGTTAATTAGATGGCATGTAAAATTCTCAAGACACATTGAAAGTACTGTTCATCTTGATTCTTGATTAGAAGTAAACATCGACCATACAGAGATTCTCAAGGGTTGTTGATGATAATCAGTAAAACAAACTGGGGCTGCCCCACTAACTCCAGGGGCCTCAATTCCCATCATCGTCATCTATAAAAACGGTACCCTCTGGAGCATGCCCAACATAGCTCTGGCCCTGACGGAGAATTGTCTGCAAGCGTTTATTCACAGATTTGCTGTATTGGTTATAATATGGTGGCAGGTATAGCCACACTGTGAACCAGATATAGTTCCTATTCATTTAAAACAAACAAACAAATGGACATTCATTCAGCAAATTTACTGAGGACCACGATTCAAGAACTAAACCAGGAAACTATGGATGCCCTCATGGAGCTCACATTATCATGGAGATGTATGAACTGTTCAGAAACAATGGACTGGTTTGATAAAAGAAAAAAATTAAGTTGAATTATGGGATGCAAACAACTAACTAGGCAGCCAGTTAAACTTCTAACGGTGTTACTATGTGTGTTGTAAGGAAGGCACAATGTAAGTAGAACATATACCTGAGAATACACCATGCCAGGAATCTATTTTTTTATGGTTACTTTGCTTCATTTTTCTTCTGAAGATGAAAGTCAATATTATTTTCTCTTAAGGTAATGAGGTAGTCAACAGAAACAACTTGAAGTCTTGAATAAAGTAAGTTGCTAACTGGGTAAAATTTGAAATTTCTAAATAATGCTATAGATTTCAGAGATGTTTAAACATATGCTCAAAATTCTAATTTTATGCAATATTTAACATTGTGTGATTAAGCCAGAGTAAATCATATCAAAGACTAGTATGTTTATAACTCATTGGTTTTCCTTACTCAAGTCTACTCCTACCCAGTTTGCCTACCACACAGCAAATTTGTGGCCTTTGATCCATAAATACATCTTTTAAAAAATTAATATTTTCTTTTCCCGTGAAGTGAGTTACTAATCCCTTTATTTCTTCAGAGATATTTCGAAAGAGAACTTGGCAAGTTTGGGCAACCAAGTTATGCTTCAGTAGATGAGTAGATAAACTGTGATACATTCAGACAATGTAATATTTATTCAGAGCTAAAAAGAATTGAGCCATCAAGCTATGAAAAGTCTTGGAGGAAACTTAAATGCATACTACTAAGTGAAAGAAGCCAGGCTGACTTCTTTCTATGTGCTTCTAACTATGTGACATTCTAGAAAAAAATCAAACCATGGATACAGTAAAAAGATGAGTGGTTGCCAGGGGTTAGAAGGGAGGGAGGGATGAATAGGCAGAACACAGATTTTTTAGGACAGTGAAGCTACTCTGCATGATACTATAATGGTGGATACATCATACGTTGGTCCAAATCCATAGAATGTCCAGCACCAAGAGTGGACCATAATGTAAAGTATGGGCTTTGAGTGATAATGATGTGTCAGTATAGGTTCATCAATTGTAACAAAGGTACTGCTCTGGGGGATGACATCGATAATGGGGAAGGATATGCATGTATGGGGGCAGGGAGTACATGGGAAATCTCTGTCCCTTCTGCCCAATTTTGTTGTGAACCTAAAACTGCTCTAAAAAAAGAAGGTCTGTTAGAAAAAGAGACAGAGAAGTTTGGACTATACCTGCGTGTCATTTTCATAGTTCCGTTAGCCAGAACTTAAAAAAAAAAAATTTGAATCCATGTAAACATTTTGATTGTTAAATCTTAAGTATGTCTTAGTAGATTAGAATTTCAGGAAAAAAGACACCTCCAAGGTGAAAACGTGTAGATGATGCTTCAGCTCAGAGTGACCTGAGCTCTCAGGGACATTTAAGCTCATTAGCAGGATTCTCCTACAGAAGCACTCCCGGTCCTGGTCCTGCATTTCACAGTTCTTAGAAAAATCTTCTCATTGATGCTGGGGTGTTGCACTCCAGCTGAGAGCCTGAGGTCTTTAACTGAAAGGCAAACATATTGGTTTTATATATCTTGTGCTTTCTGGAGGGTGTAGCTTTTTTATTTTTAAAGCGACAAGGGTGAGAAAATGAAAGGGGAAGATCCAATCACATGTAACTATATTAAACCGCCCACCAGCTGTTTATAACTTAACACATCATTCCACCCTACAAGAAGTCTTTAACATATGAAAAGGACATCCTTGCGGAGGTGTGGGGGGGACTGACAGGTGGAACTGGGTGAAATGGGACACTTGCTTTTGATGGTGTGAAAGTTATCTTTTGTGAGTTATTGGTATTCTTCTTCCACTGTTTTCTTAAAGATTAGCCTTAGGGAACTTAAATAATTAGGCATAAAATCTCTGGCAGGATATTTAATCAATCACATCTTGGTTTCAGCCAATGGGAGCGCTGTGGTCAGCTGTGTCCCGGTGTGTTCTAGAACAAGCCACAACCTTGGACAATCCGGTCGCACTGCTGGCATTTCTGTTTATTGTGTAGCCTGAAGTTCTTCTTTGTAGGCAAACTGAAAAGGAGCAGCAAACTGATAATACTTCGAAAGTCTACACCTCAGGGAGAAATTTGGGGATTTTCTAACTCTCAAAGTTCCAGTAAGGATGGGGAGAAGTGATGTAATTTGTGTAGGCTGGTAAAAATGCCCAGTCTGGTTTTTGACATTTCAGTTCATGGGTGTATTAGTCAGGGTTCTCCAGAAAAACAGAACCAATAGGATGTGCATGTGTGTATATTAAAAAATTATACAAATATTTATTTTAAGTAACTGGCTCAGATGATTATGGAGGCTAGCAAGTCCAAAATCTCCAAATGGACCATCAGGATGGAGACCCAGGGAGAAGCTGGCAGTCACGAGCCTATTCTCATGTTTACAGGGGGCTGGGGGACCGAGTCTAGGCTGTGAATTTGAGAATCACACTGCTAACAGAACAAAGTCTCACCTCTGAGCTGGTCCAGCCCTCCCCCCAGTACCACAGGGAGCCCCGTTAGCTTCTCCCAAGCCCTGGTCAGGCCTGGCATCATCTCAGACCCCTGCTTAGGACAGGGGATGTGGCCAGCATGCTTCTTCCTTCAACCTGTTGGTACATTTTCTTGAAAGAATAAAAGTTGTCTTTCTCCTGTGGTGAAAAAAAAAAGTAGGTTAACAGCAATAGGATGAGCCTAAATAATAAAAAATTATAGCTGACAGTTATTTGCTACTGTGTGTCAGGAATGTTTGAATCCTCACAAAAGTCTATGAGGTAGCAAGTACCCTGGAATCGATAAACTGCTCAAATCCCAATTCTCCCACTCACTGGCTGTGTGAACTTGGCAAATCCTTTAGCCTCTCTGTACTTCAGTTTCCTTACTAGGAAAATTAAGAATAATCATAGCATGCACTGCTGAAGATTATTGGGAAGATTAAATGAGTGATCCCACACGGAGTGTGTATCAGTAGAACAGTGCCTGGTGTATTAGAAGCAGTCAGTAACAGTCAGCCATTGTCATTATAGAGGAAGATAGAACAAAACAACGGCGGGGTATAGGCATGACAGCCATCTGCAACCTAGAAATTGTGTATATGCCGGGCATCCCCGCGTGAGAATATCCAGCATATTTGTTAAGTAGATAAATGAACACATCCTTCCACTGAAGTCTTATAACCAAAGTTCAAGTTCAACCAAAAACATCCCATTCCAGTCTCCCTTGGCAAACCCACAACCAATCTTGCCAACGAGAATATGAAGGGAGTCCTGACACTTGTCATGTGTGTTCTTCAGTACTTCCTTTTGATTATGTTGATTGAGTTTGGATTAAATCCAACCACCTTATGCATGGAGTTTCACCTAGAGATGGAGGCAGATTAAAGGGCACGGCAGCATAAAATAAAAATGAACCACCCAAGATAATTCAGCATGCGCTAGCATGAGGGACTCACAGACCTGAATTTCCCCGTGTTTATTTTATTGTGTCTCAGGCTACAGGAATTATCTCGCAGAAACATTTTTCGACTTAACGGTGATCTTGGGATCTCCGTACTGAAAATCAATGTGCATTTTGTTTCATTCTAGAGTGCTTCAACAACAGTAGCCTAAACTGCTTTAGGATACTCATTGTGCCATTAGAAGTCAGCCACCGCCAGTAGACCTTAGATTTCGTGTAACTCAGTCAAGGACATTTTGTAGCCATAATGGCCCAAGTCACAGGGGAACTACTGGTAAGATCTTTAGGTTTAAGTGACTTTTTGATTTAACGGCTTAGGGTTTCTCCACTTTTCCTACCCTTATTTGTGAAACTGAACTGATTTCTGAATGTAGTTTGCTCGCCACTTTTTTTTTTTTTTTAAAGAACATGTTGGGGGTAGGAGTTTATTAATTAATTAATTAATTTTTGCTGTGTTGGGTCTTTGTTTCTGTGCGAGGGCTTTCTCTAGTTGTGGCAAGCGGGGGCCACTCTTCATCGCGATGCGCGGGCCTCTCACCATCGCGGCCTCTCTTGTTGCGGAGCACAGGCTCCAGACGCACAGGCTCAGTAGCTGTGGCTCACGGGCCTAGCTGCTCCGCGGCATGTGGGATCTTCCCAGACCAGGGCTCGAACCCGTGTCCTCTGCAGTAGCAGGCAGATTCTCAACCACTGCGCCACCAGGGAAGCCCCTACTCGCCACTTTTAACTATTTGGTTTCTTTTACTTCTCTGACTTTGCTTATTGCTGCTTTGGAGACTGATGCCCTTGTCGGTTTCTTTTGCCTGGGGCTTTGGCTAAATGAGAACTTTCAAAACCCTCACACAGTTACTCTCTGACCATGAGAGAATCTTGCTTCAGAGCACTCCCCCTAGCCTGAAAACCCATGCCCTAGGCCCCATATAGTTGTTTTCTCCTGGTGGCCTCAATCTTTCAACTCTAAGTATGGAAAACCAAAAAACGGCAACAAATGGTTTTATGCTAACTAGGTTGAAAGGGATTCTCCAGTCTGCTATTAAAAAATCAAAAATCAGTTAGACCCTCACGTGGAGGCCAGCGCATTGTTAGGTAATCAGGGTTATTTACTAATGTTTTGACAGCTCCACTTAGCATAAAGGTCAACTGGTGACACTTCTGACCACATAGGCCCTCACACAATGTTTTATTGACTTGGCTGACTTATAAATCCTATATCCATGAGATAATTGGCAACACACTCCTTCACAGATGTGAGTTATGCAATCAGGGTGGGAAAAAGAGCTACTGAAGCTGGCTTGCTGGAAATCTTTACTTCCAATCTATAAAATATAATAAGGTTAAGAATAAAAAAGAGTGCCAAACACCAGTGTTTTGTAAAGCGGTTTACAAATGTAAGGCAATATTGTCGGCATTAACAAGATTGATTGATCGTCTGTCTATCTATCCAGCTATCTATCCAGCTATCTATCTTTCTATGTCTATCCATCTACCTATCTATTCTAAGACATCTAAACCTGAGGACTCCATTAAATGTCAAGATAATCAGTGTTACATATTTTTATTTTTTGCAAATAGTCCTCCAGACCTGTACAGTGGAGACCAACTTTGGTTTCAAAGACTGTGTTTTAGGTTGTTGTTTTTTTTTTCAATGAGTAATTTCTTCTGCTTACCCATTCTTTATTTTGATACTGAGTCTCATAGATCAATTACTACTATTAATCAGCTAGAAGAGTAAATGAAATTAATACCACAGACACATGAAGCGTCAGTCTTGCCAGCTGGTGTGAACTGTAAAAGGTGGAGTGTGTGTGTGTGTCATAAATTGTTCTGTATGATGATATGACTATTGTTATTTGCAGAAAACTTTATATTTTTTTAGGTCAAGAAGCCTGTAATTCTCCAAGTGATCTCTGAACCTTATTTAATGCAGCAAACCACAGAAGGAGCTGAGCTAAACAGTGTCTGCAAGTTGGGAAGTAATAACTTTCCTCATCCCTTCCGTAAGTGACTTGTGCCTTTGTGATGAATGCAGACCCTTCCTTCACGAGGGTTTCCCGATATTATACACTTGTAGCAAATAAGGTTAGAACCTTTAAAATATAGCATTTAGTAATGTGCTGGAAATAGCTTCTTCTCGATTCCTTTAAAGGTCACCGCATTTGCTTTCCAGGCGTCATTTTAACTCAAGCCTCTACCGAGTGGAACTGAGATCATGCTTGCCTTTGCGCCTTCAATTTTCCCAAACTTAAGAGTGAAATGGCAGGATAAAGTGGAGTGTGTGTGTGTGTGTGTGTGTGTGTGTGTGTGTGCACGTGCTCTTGTGAGTTTAGATGTAGCAGTGCATTGTCAAGATAATCTCAATGTTGGATACATGCAGGCGGCTTCTTCAGTTGGAGGTAAGGTTAGGCTTGTATTATCCTCTGTCCAGAAGCCAAGCTTCTAGGAGTGAAATTGGGCAACAGGTACTAAAGGAAAACAAACTCTGCAGAAAACTCTCAAAGCACAGAAAACTCTTTTGTGCCTTGCCTGAGCACTCCATCTGTCCCCAGCCAAAGTATATTAATAAGACCCTAGCCAGGTAAATTAGCATCAACCCACAAGTTTTGCTGCTGTTCCACTGGAAAAAAAAAATTCATTAAGCCATTGATATAAAGCAAGAATAGTCAACCGCAGCCTTGCTATCAAAATTAGTATTGGAATGGTAGAGTGACACGAGAGACAATTTCACACCAACTGACACAAATCAAGGCCAAACTGGAAAAAAGAGAACGGCTTCTTTTGTAAAGCATGGTTCACTGATTCTAGAATCATCGCTGTCTTTTGTCAGTACTGCCAATATCCTCACCTTCCTCATGTCATCAGCACCATGGCTAACATCATCTTCATCATGTTTATAGTCGGCAGTCATGTTTCCTTTTACAAGTACACTAAAGATGAATAGTGGTCCATATCTGCTGAGAGCCTGCCCTCCATGTTCATGTCCCAGCTAATTCTGATCCCCTCTCTGCACATTAAAAACTACCCAGAACTCCAAGCCCAAGGTCGAATTTCTCTTCCTCTTTCTAGGGCCTCTCTGCTGAATTCCTCATAGTAGCCACTGTCTGGCTATTAATAATTTTTCATTTGTAATTATCGTTTTTGGTTGTTAGTCATCTTTTCAAGTGTGCATGTTTTGTTGGTTTGGCTAGAATATAAGGGTTTGATGGCAGAGACTGTGTTTTTTGTACACTGGTGTAGATACCATATTATTTATATTAGTGCCTTATTAAATGTAGCACTTAATAAATAGTCAACAAATAGTTATCAATGATTGCAACTTTACAGGGAAGTTGGAGAATTTGTTCATGGCCAGATATCCCTATAAGTGGTATTAAGTTAGCCAGATGAGTTTGTGGAGACTGTGCCATAGGCGCTCATGACAGGGAACATGAGTGTCAAGGAAGGAAGGGTGCAAAGAGGTCAAGAAATTTGGAATTTGTATTAAGTGGAGGTGATTTCTCAGAAGAAAAGGGACTTGGCCTGGGTTTTAACATGTTCTATGCACTTGACATGTAAGTTTCACAAACTCTGTTGAGAGGGTTGGAGAAGATGCTATGAGGAGGATGTAAATGTGAAATCAGAGAGTTAAACCAGCAGCACAAAGAGGAAGTGATATTAGTGAAAATCAGGGTCAAGAGTTTGCGTTTGGCAACACGGATGGACCTAGAAATTATACTAAGTGAAATAAGACAGACAGAGAAAGCCAAATATCATATGGTATCACTTATATGTGGAATCTAAAAAAATAACACAAGGGAACTTATTTACAAAACAGAAATAGACTCACAGACGTAGAAAACAAACTTACGGTCACCAAAGGGGAAAGGGAGTGGAGGGGTAAATTAGGGATTTGGGATTAACAGACACACACTACTACATACAGAATAGATAATCAACAAAAACCTACTGTACAGCACAGGGAACTATATTCAATATCTTGTAATAACCTATAATGGAAAAGAATCTGAAAAAGAATATATATATATATATATATATATATATATATATAACTGAATCACTTTGCTGTACACCTGAAACATTGTAAATCAATTGTACTTCAATAAAAAAATTAATCTGAAAAAAAGAGTTTGCATTTGGACTAGACAGATGACAATTGTCCTTAGAAGATTTTGAATAACTGAGATATGCCCTCCATTCAGTACATGTAAAGGATTGTATTAAAGGCAAGAGGAAGTGAACAGGAAAAGAGGTTACCGTCACTTATGGATGGAATAACCAGAATCTGAGCAGGGTCTTGAGAAAAAAAGGGAGAGAAACGAATGAGAAGCAGAGCGAGCTGCTTAGACTTGCGAAGGAATGAGAGGATGACACTGTCGATGATACTGGAGCCTCAGGGGAAAGCAAGGATTCACCTTTGTTCCATCCCCAGGTGAGAAGGGTGAGCGGTGAAATACTATAATCCCAGCTGATCATGAAAGTAGGTGGGTGGGAGATCTTCTACTCCCTAGTTCCAAAGAAATCTCTCTTTAGGGTCCAGCTCTCGGACAATGATGGGAAGACTTAAGGTTACATAGATTTGAGGCAGGTGAATTGAACTATCCTTAGCCTTTTAGCAGAGAGATGGTGAAAAAAGCCATTGATTGGAAATCAGGTGCTCTGGGGTCTCCACTTGCCATGTCTTTTAACTGCACATCATTAACTTCTCTGAGCTTTGAAAAAACAGAAGCAACAGACTAAATAATTGCTAAGCAAGCTTTCATATTCTGTGTTCTATACTGGGTTTCGGCACACCATTGCTTCAGTAGGTTGGTCAATGAAATATACAGCAACGTGTTTGCATCATTACAAATGAGAGTACAGTACAGACTTGCAGACCCACACTCGTGCAGTGTATTTTCCTCCAACTTGGAAATGTTAGCTGTGTGAGTTTCAGAATAAAAACCTGCCATGCGAACTCCCTCCATTTGGGTTATTTATTTGCTGTAAACAAAATGACACCTCGCTGTAGCTTGGAATCTCTCAGGCACTTTTGAATATATCTACGAGAAGATATATGAATACATTTCCTTGACTGATGGTTCAAAATGCCATCCACACCTGAGTCTGATGAAGATTCTAGCTCCAGCTACCAATTTACAGGAGAGAAGAGAGAAAAGTGTTAACCTATACCATGGGATTGCATTCAGCTTCATCCAGACTGTGGAAAAATCTTCAGGGCATTATTACCTGATTGCCTAACAAACACATTATAAGAAAGACAAAAGAGAAGTGAGATGGAACCCATAGATACTTTAAATGCTTATAAATGAATTATAATATGTGGACTTCATTTGCCTCCTAATTCAAACATACAAATTTAAAAATTATGACGTTCATGCGAACTGTAGATGTGATCACTGACTAGATATTTGATAATTATTTACAAAATATTGCTAATTTTAAAGGCTGTGATAATGGTATAGTGGTTTCTTAAAGATTTGATCATCTTTCAGAGATACAGGAGTTACATACTGAAATATTTACAGGTGAAATTACATGGTATACAGTTAGCTTCAAAATAATATGGGGGGAGGGGTGGCTGAAACCAGGATTGGCCATGTGTAGATTATTGTTGAGGCTGGATAATGGCTACATAGCAGTTCATTGTACTTTTATGTGCTTAAAATTCTCCACAATAAGAAAAAAAATTAATGCCATCGACTTACACTGAGCATTTTCTTTGATTCTTGGAGCTTTCTTAGTACTTCCTCAGTGACAGGTTGGACTATCCCTACAAGAATGTGATATAGACACTGATGTTTTTTGGTAGAAGATTATTAATGCTTAAATGGGGAAAGAATTGCTAACAGATATAAAATTTAGTTTTTATCGTTCTAATGGATTCCCCCTTTCCTTCCCATCCCCCGTTTCTAAACTGGGATAAGGAGGGGAAAAAAACAACTTAATTTTTCTGGCATTGCCATCTCTATCGGGAAATCCTTTGGCCTTTTTGTAGAGGCAAGTCCCTAACTGAGAACATCCCCTGTGCACTGACCAGGCCCATCATTTAGACTCAGACTTAATTCTCCTGGATTCCATGTAATTTCCAACCAATAAATATGCTCTAGAGAGACTTAGGACATTGGGAATCCAAATGAAAAAGCTGTAGTTGTGGACTTTCTGGGGCCCATAGAAAGTTGAGATGAGCCTTTTCCCTTTGCCCTCACATCCCTCCCTATAGTGATATTTGTAGTGGACATTTGTTCTAAGAGTATCCTGATTTTCACTGTTGGATTCTCTTCTCCTCTCCTCCAATAGACTTTAGAGGAAGCTGACCTCACTCCCTGATCTAGGGGTGGTCTTGGATTGGCTAAACCCAATCAGTACATTCCATTCCCTTGGTTATGGCCGTTCATTCTGGGGAAGACATATGCCCCACATTGGTCCAATCAGTGTGTATCTTAGCACTGTTGCAATACTGGGGCAGAAGGAATCTCTCCTACTGGACTTGAGCAAGGATGATTGTATCCCTGACTTTGTCAGACAATTATCCTGCTACAACTAGGAGAGTAAGTATTAGGATGGAACTCAGGTTGAGGATTGCTGAGCAGAAAGATGAAAAGAAATTGGCTCTTTGGAGACATGACTGAGAAGCTGGATCTATCAACCATGAAACTGCCGTTCCTTGAGACTGTATTTGTTCTGAGGGCCAACAAATCTTGATTGGTTAAGCCAAATGAATTGTGCTTTATTTCATTTGTTTCTAAGAGCATCTTAGCATAAATGGAACATGCTTACCTACTGACATAGAAAAGCTGGAGATAGAATATTTCAGTGAAGAATCCAGGGGTGAGAATATACTGCTCACTTTGCCTCTTAAATGGGTCTATGCTCCATATTGGGTATATTAAAACAAGATTGAGACAATCTAGTTGGAGACATCAAATAAACAAATGTTAGGTGATTAGACAAACTGAAAGACATGATTTTGCTGAGTCTGATCCTGTCTAGTGAAGCTGGACAACTAAGTAAAGGGTAGAGGTAATAGGTCAAGATTAGCAGAGTAACCTGAGTGATGTCACTAGATGTCGGGGGCTAGGAGCAGAAGGAAACCTGGGTTTAAACTCTTCCTATTTCTGTTCCCTCTTTGTAAAAACCCATATCAACTGTATAGACCAGAAGGCGTGTCCCAGATGGCACTAGATTGCTCCACGAGAATGGACCACACTTGACTTATTCACCTTTGTATGTATTAATTGAATGTCACGTGTATGTTAGGCACTGTTCTAGGCACTGGGAAACATTCCAATATAAGGAGATCAGATCAGTAAGCAACTAGACAAGTAAATAATATATAGCCTCTCAGATAGCAATAAATTTCATGGAAAAAAAAAAAGAAAGTAGAATAAAGCAGGCAAAAGAGTGCCAGGGAAGAGGGACAAAATATATAATGGCCAAAAAGATGACATTTTAGCAGAAATCTGAGCAACATGAGGAGAGAGCCATGTGGACATCTAGAGGAAGAGATGGCAGCCAGTACAAAGGCCCTTGGTAGGAGCAAGCTTAGCATGTTTGAGGAATGTTAAGGAGAATCAGAGTGGCTGGAAGGGAGTAAATGAGGAGAAGACTCACAGGAGCTGAGGTCTCAGAGGTAGTGAGAGGCCAGAACATAAGGGTCATGGAGGCCAATCTAGGCACTTTGATTGAATTATGAATTATTTGGAATGCTATCACAAGTTAAATTGGGGAACCACCATGTTTTACTCATTTCTTAGTTTGAAGAAGGAAGTGAAAATTATAATTGCTTATAAAACAAGCCAAACAGAACAGAAGTGGGCAAAGAAAAATGCAAACCTCCTCCCTTCCATACCTTCCTCCCATTCTCTCCCATCTAAACACTCCTAGAAACAGAAATTAACAATTTGCTGGGTAGTCAACTATACATCTTTCCTAAGCTCATACAAATATATATCTCCCTGCAACACACATAGAGTATGTATGTATGTTTATAATTATTTCTTATTCTTATTAAAATACGATTATGTTAGGGACTAGTCTCTGCATCTTGCTTTATTTGTGGAACAATATTTTGTGCACCAGGTCAACAGACATCTAACATAATCTTCTCCATCTTGCCATTTTGTTGTTCCTCATTTTCTTACACCTCTCACGAGGATGATGGCAAAGAATAAGATCTGTGATGTAAGTGAGTCCTCCTAAAATTTTCTGATATAATATTCCAGATCATGGATGTCAGTAGAAATAATTAATAAATGATTTTTTACAAGTTCAGCTCACTCTTGGTGCTGAATCAGAATTTTCTATCTTTCCCTCTAATCATCGGTTTGCGCAGGCCTCAAAAGTCATTTTGCCTAGAAATTTGGGACAAAAATCAAGAAAAGGTAAATATTAGAATCATGGAATTTTGGAATTGAAAGGTACTTAAGATATTACCTGATCTACTCTCCTTCTGTAATTAATTCGATAAATATATACTGAGTGCCTAGTTCTCGGTAGGTACCAAGGAAGATGTTAGAGACAAAAAGTTGTCTAGGACACAATCTCAGTCTTCATCTTAACATCAGGGCAAGTGAAGGCTCAAAGAGATTGGGAGGCTTTTCCAAGACACATTAGGGAAGTGACAAATGTGATTGGAACACAAACCAGTTAAACCAGTTAACCAGTGCAGGGTTCTTTCCATTGTATCTCACAGCATATGGAAGTTTATAACAGTAAATAACTAAAGGCCAGTCCTGAATGCTGTCATTTGCAAAAAATTTAGCTATTAGAGGTCCACGCAGTGAATGAAATACTAGTTAGACTGCTCTCATCTATCAGGAGCTGGTAATTTACTCTGAAAAATCTAATTTCAACCCACTTTCTTAGAGGGTAAATTTTATTCCATTTCCTTTTCTCAAGGCTCTGTCATTAGCATATTAAACTAATGAGTGAATCAATTATTTAAAACTGGCAATATTTTTTATTATGTCTAATTAAGTGTTTAATCAGGACATTCTGGTCTTTAATTCTGAAAACAGCATTCACCACAGGATGAATGAAATGACTGGGTGGAACTTTCCTAACAACCTCTTGTACGCAGAGGACTAGGAAGGAAGCTGGAGGCTTAGAGGCGAAGGTGAACAGGAACGAGTCACAGAAGAGACAGGAAGTGACAACAAGCCTAATCAGCAGCAGCTGAGGATGATGACTGCATGTTGCTGAACAGACTTGACAGTGGGGAAGGGTAACTACCACCTCAACTTCAGGATATGGTTCCTGGAGTCTCCATTGCACAATAAAACTGATATTTAGGGCAGTTAAAGCATTCTTTGCTTTTCTCTAGACTCCTGTAAGTATTTACCATATCATTTAAGTGTTAGTTAATGAAGTACCTCAATAGTCATACAGTATTTTAAAAACCATCTGAAAATTATTTAACCAATAATTATAATACATTTCAGGAGATGTTTTTGATTTCAAAAACACAAACTTAATATTTACCAAGTTCACTGTACCTACTGGTATGCCAACATATTACCTAAAGGCCAAACTATCCTAAAACTAACAGTAAATCATTACAAAAAGATCCCAGAAAATGTCCAGGAGCCACTCAAAGCAGATAGGGAAAGTGGGAGACAGAGGTTAATTCACATATGCATTCCTTTATTCAATGAATACTTATTCAGTGCTTCCTGTATACCTGAAACACTCTGATTCTTATTAGAGATATAAAAGATAACAAAACAGTCATGATTCCTACTTTCTCAAAACTTGCAGTTTACCAAGAATATGGACAAACTAGAAATTACAATGCCATGTAGTAAATAGTAAGATAATGTTACCAAATCCAAATTCATTCTGCTTACTGCATGACAGACCATTAAATTGGGAGACGAGGTGTTTGGGAAAGGAATAACAACTTTATTTGGAAAGCCAAATGTCTGAGAGGATGGCAGACTAATATCCTAGAGAGCCATCTTACCCAAGTCAGAATTCAGGCTTCTTTTATACTAAAAAAGGGAGGAGGTGTGGTTGGTTGATGCAAACTCCTTGGTGTTGGAATCCTTTGTTCTTTTGGCTGCCCACATAGGTCAGGTCACTACGTTCCTATGAACCTCCAACAAGACAAATGTTATTCTCTGTTCTGCAACTTTTTATCTCTATATGAGTGGGAAAATGTTATACCCTTACAGGTCAGAGCCTTGAGAATGGACTATCCTGTATATTTCAGGCTATAGGCAACATTCTTAACTCAAAGCAAAAACAATAGAATACAAAGGTTGAAGTAAAACCAACAGATCTAATATGGAGTCAGATTTGTTCTTCCCTATTACAATAAGAGTATGTTCTGAATGCTACAGGAGTACTCAGGAAAGGGAAGTCAGGAAGCTTGTGAGAGGAAATTGTATGAGGAAATGAGTTGACAGCACCAGACCAGTAGAAGTGAACTTCCTTTTCCAGCAGGAGAAATGAAATATTCTAACTGACCCACTCACTGAAAACAACCAAAAATGTTTGATAAGTTATTTTAAAAATCTTGTATTTTTTCACATGTGTCAGTGAGCAGGAACAAAATTAAGTCTAAAAACTAGATGAAAACAAGAACTCAGGTCAGCACAGCAGGAAGCTAGCTTTTGCCCTAAGTACATTCTCCAAACAGGGTGAACTTGAGCTTCATATTTTCACAGACATAGTGTACAGGGGACGGAAGACTTCCCAGTGTTGTCCCCACAATTGTGGAGAGTCCAATAGGTCAACCATGAGGATTAAGCTGGGATACCAAAGGTATGTACCCACAGTGTAGAGTGAACTAGAAATAAACATACCTCAACTCTCTTTTTACTCCAGGAGACTGCAAATAAAGCTGTTATTTTTAACTTTAGCTCTGAGTGGAAGAGGAAAAATAATCCCTTGAGAAATAGTAAAACTTCAAGCCAGCCCCCCAAATATTAGAATTCTGAATGCTCAAAACTTAGGTGACTCCAACCCTCCTCCCCTGCAAAAAAAACCCTCTGAAGATGAGATGTTAGCTTAAATCAATTTCAGGTTGGTAACAGCTCTCAGATTCCTGGCAGTAACAAACACAGGTCTCTCTGGGGGAATTTACCTTTAATCCACATTATACATTACACAAAGAAATAAGACACCATGAGTGAAAGCCAGCAGAAACAAAAGAGAGAATTATCAGACCCTTCCCTAAACGCTTCATATATGAGAATTATTTAAAACAACTATCATTAGTAAGTCAAAATAAATAGAACAAGATTAAAAATATGTTTTGGGTGCAGAAACTATAAAAAGTGACCTTGCAGATCTGAAAAGGTACCAAATAAAGTTTCTAGAAATTAAAAATAGAACAATTGAAATTAAAATCTCAATGGTTGAGTTTAACAGCAGAGTAGATTCAGCTGAATTAACAAAATTAATGAAATAGAGATATATTCCAATTACTATATCTCTAGCAACCAGAATGCAGCACAAAGAAAGATGCAAAGACATGGAAAAAATGAAAGAGAAATTAAGAGAAGTGGAGGATAGAGTGAAGTGATCTAGCATCATCTAGAAGAAGGGGAGAAAGAGTATGTCAGAATCTACTAGCCACTCAAAAGGATCCAAACTCTCTATTTCCAGGACACATAGACTGTATTTCTTAGCCTCACTTGCATTCCATCAATGAACACAAAAATTATGTGTGCCTGTTCTAGATTGGTTCATAAAACACCTTTCATGTGTGTTCCTCCTGGTTCTTTTCTCCTTCTGGCTGACTTCGGTGGAGATGCCTTTGGAAAGCCATATGTTTAAGAAGCAGTGCTTCTGTCAGCTGGGTCCCTGAATGACCATGTAGAGGAGATTAACCCTGCCTAATTATGCATCTGCTCATGACTGTTAAGAAATAACAGAGATCTATTGTGTTGAGCCACTGCATGTTTGGGTCCATATGTTACCACAGTGTAACTCACTGGACATGTACTAGAGGCAACACTTTAAAGACAATGGCAGATAATTTTCTAGAATGGATGAGAGATCCAATCTCCTATATAGGAATCCAAAGAAATGGAAAGTAGGAAAAACCAGCAAATAAACAAAATCCATACTAAAGTGCATTATAGAGAAACTGCAGAACACTACAGACAAGAAGATCTTAAAAGTAACTGGAAAAAATGCCAAGTTACCTTCAAAGAAATAATATTCCAACTGAGAACTGACTTTTCAACAATAACAAGTCACAAGAAAGTAAATTGATATCTTGAAGATATATTCAGAGAGACAATATTATCTTACAATTGCATGCTTACAGAAATATCTTTCAAGAGTAAATCCAATGTAAAAACATTTCTAGACAAACAAATACTAAGAATTTATCACCAAAGGAAGCTTACTAAGGAAATACTAACAGATACACTTCAAGTAGAGGGAAAGTGATCCCAGGTGTAAGATCTGAGGATGAATGATGAAAACAAAAATATAAGTGGATAAACTTAAGTATTGACTATAATGTATATATCTATATATATAAAACTGTATATATCTATATAGATATAGTCATTTCATTGACTATGTGAAATGACAATTACAGTGTCTTAAGTGGTTCAGAATAATAAAATGACAATACATTAAAACAACAGAATTAAGTCAAGAGCTGGAGGTTGGGATTGAAAGGTTGAGTCTCTTTTATTTGGGGGAAGGAAGTAAAGATATTGAATAAATTTAAACTTTGATGATACAGGCCTAGATGATACAATTTCTAGAATCAAAATAGTGTATATTACTCTAAATTATGAAGGGGGATAAAGTAATGATAAAAAATTGTCAAATGATACAAAAGGCAGCAAGAAAGGAGAGAAAAAAAATTTTTGAATGTAGAATAATTAAATGGTCCATAATTAGATGTTTGAAAGTACATTTAAGTATATTGTTAGCTACAATAAATATAAATAAGCTAAGAGTTCCAGTTTTAAAAAAAGATTGTTAGACCAGATAAATATCCACAATATAGCATATGCTGCTTACAAGAGATACAGAAAAACTATAAGGTCACAGAATAGCTGAAAATCATCAATTGGGAAAAAATATGTTAAGATGAATTCTAACTAAAAGATTATATATATTAATATGTAATAATAATAAAGTATATTATTTTACATATAATTAAAGATTATTATATACTGAAGAATAGAATTAAAAACAATACATTCTAGGTATTAAAAAATTATTGTATAATAATAAAAAGTTCAGTTAACCAGGAATGTACAACAATTCCATCCTTTTAACAACTAAAAACACAGACTTAGAATATATAAAATGAAAACTAACAACATTCAGGAAGAAATTTAAAAATCCATCAACATAATGGGAGATATTAACATACCTATTTCAAAAACTCATAGAGCAAGCCAAAAATAATCAGCTTAGATACAGAAAATTTGAACAACGTAATTGGCAGATTTATCAGTTGGGTTCATATAGAACAATGCAATCAACAAATGCAGAATAATTTTTTTTCAAGCACAAACCAAACATTTACTAAAATGGAACACATAAAATGGGCCATAAAACTGATTAATAAAAGTTTAAAATATATAGTTCTGCTGACTACAGTGAAATTCTTAGAGATCAACAATAGAAAGCTGACTGGGAAAAAAACTCATATATTTGGAAATTAAGAAGTACACTTTTCCACTAATTGTGGGTAAATAAATCACAATGGAAATTAGTTTATATTAAATTTAACACAGAATTGCCAACATGCAACAATTTTTGACCTATAAAAATAGCAATTTTATTAAAATTAACCTAATATTTAGAAATGAACTCTAACCAAAATACTCCATTATTAAAACGTGGGGATATAGCTAAAGCTGTACTATAAGAAAATGTATAGCCTCCCAAACATTTTTTTAAAAGAAGGTCTGAAACTAAATATGTCAATTATTTAACTTGTGAAGATAAAACTCAAAGAAAACAAAAGGAAGAAAGTAATGACTGAAAACCAAAAAAAAAGGTGCTTTGAGGGAATTGAAAACAAACAAAAAACCCAGTTTGATTGAATACAGCACAGGATGGGTGAGAGACTAGCCTGGAGAGTCACACAGGGACAAACCACGATGTGTATTTTTGCCATATTACATTAATTATGAATTATATAAGCTCTATTACTTACTCGGTTTATCAAACTTCATTCTCCTAATGAAGGAAGGTCAACATTGCCTGAACTCACAGTGGGTATTGGCTGCCATGCACAGCCATTTGAAGTCTGAATTTTCAAGATATTCTGGTCTGTGTGCTGTTTTTGAATCTTGGATACA